GGTAATGGTTGTAATCATTACACATCAAGCATTGAAGAATTTATTAAATCTATTTGATGATGTTGTTTGAAAATGTAGACATATTTGACTAGCCACACTTGTTTCAGACCTATTTTGATATTTTCATAACATTTTCTAAACCTTAAAACTCTATTTTTAAAAAAATTATATTTTTTTATTAAAGGCCTTAGTTGACATGGCACCTAAGTATATTCTGGAGCAGTTTTTGGAGTCTGAGTTATTGATCAACATCACCGAACATGAGGTGAGCATGTGTTAATCTTTTATTTTGGATGTTTTAAGTTAGTACTCCCTTAACTTTGTAAATAAGACTACATTTTTTAGGTTTTGTAAAAAAATGTATATGAAATACTGAGGGGAAAGATTTATAGATGTGGTTATTACATATGATTTATACAAACATTAAATTTTAGCAGCCTAGATGGGAAAAAAGCTTATTTTTTTGGCTGAACAAACTGTAATTATTCTTTGTGAACCACAAGTAAGGCCTATAGTTGGTTATAGTAAGGTACGTTATAGGTCTAATGTTGGTTATAGTAAGGTACGTTATAGGCCTAATGTTGGTTATAGTAAGGTACGTTATAGGCCTAATGTTGGTTATAGTAAGGTACGTTATAGGCCTAATGTTGGTTATAGTAAGGTACGTTATAGGCCTAATGTTGGTTATAGTAAGGTACGTTATAGGCCTAATGTTGGTTATAGTAAGGTACGTTTTAGGCCTAATGTTGGTTATAGTAAGGTATGTTATAGGCCTAATGTTGGTTATATATAGAATTAGCTTCAGAACGTTGTTACTCCTGGCACTAGTATATGCATGTTAAAAACTACAAAACCTTAAATTAGACTTTTATTTTACAAAAGGTGTGTTGCCCTTTGAAAGTTTCCTAAGATTAAAAAATGATAGTGCTATGAAAACATTATCTGTTTTATTACAAACTAAATATTGCTATAACGTTGAATATTGTTTTATAATCTGATGACTCGTACAGCATTTATTTTGGATAAATCTGTTAGATAAGAGATTAATTGGTAAAAATGCCCATCCTGTACTTGAAAATGATGGACAGGTGATTTTCCAAGTATTTTGTTCCATAAAGAGGAGTTGAGTGATGATGGATATAATTTTGTTAATGTAACTAAGATGTCTACATTACATTGTAGTTTTTCGAACAACTTGATAACGTACTACAACTTTACGAACCGTATGGTTATATGTACTTACTACAATACACCTTCTTTAAATTGTTTCAGCTAGTTCCAGAGCACGTTGTGATGACACCTGAAGAAAAAACAGAACTTTTAAATAGATAGTATCCTTTCTTTTCCTGACCTGTTCTGTGATTAAACATTAACGCATAAGTAGAGCTTTAGTGTGTTGTTCACATGTCCCAACACTTGGGTTTAACAAAATAATATTTATTATCTGTTTATTATTTGATTTCTTGTATTTCTAATAATGTAACAAATATATTCTTTGCTCCAGGTAATTCAGTCATCAAATCCGGTTATGTCAGAAAGATCAGTCCGTTTATATTTACATTTGGATTTCTTTCACTTTATATCATATAGATGACGTATCTTCCTCAGATTGCTTGACTTTTATATCTGTTTGGGGTTTTAAAGAGTATCTTCTATTTATCTCAAGTTTTTATGTATTTAACACCTATCACACGAGCCAGCCCAGCATCTTTTAGTACTGAGCCTAGGATGTACGATTGTGGGGGAGGTCATTTCAGAAACCAATGATTTAGGGTTATTTTGATAGATCTTGGTGAATGAAACTGGTCACAACTTCTAAAACAAAACAACTAAATATTAATGAAAATATGACATTATGAAATATATATGTATTATACTATGGTGGTGCCATACTGGGTATTATACCATCCTTCTTATATTTACTCTTTATTACAGACTATGGTGGTACCATACTGGGTAATATACCATCCTTCTTATATTTACTCTTTATTACAGACTATGGTGGTGCCATACTGGGTATTATACCATCCTTCTTATATTTACTCTTCATTACAGACTATGGTGGTGCCATACTGGTATTATACCATCCTTCTTATATTTACTCTTCATTGCAGAAATGGCATTTTTAATTTGAAGAATCATATAGAAATATCCAAACACAATTAAAAAATAACCTAACTTCAAACAAGAAAACACTTGAAGATAAAAAACAAGACATTTATATTATACCATACAAAACACGTGATGTAGGTGAAACCGGAAGACATGTTGACATGAGAGTTTCTGAACATAAAAT